AAGAAACTAAACTCTAACAAGATAATGTTTAACAGGAATAGTCACGCCTCTATTGTTAAACAAGCCAAAAGTAAACACAAAAAACCCAACCACTGTACCAATAAGGAGGGTGATACAAAATTCAATTGCAACTCATATGGAAAAGACTTATGTGCAGTAATAAATAATACAAGGTTGTAACTAGTTCTAATTCAACTTAGGTATTTTTAGTGGAAAATAATCAAGATGGCAAGAAATATATGTTGTTTTTACTGACAGTGTAAAATAGAGAAGACCCATGGAAAACAACTTTAACTCTGAAAGACTGTCACAAAGAAGCAGAACTAGATTGTTTTATCTAGGCACAAAAACAGAACTAAGGAAGGTGATAAAAAGAAAACAAATTTGTGTTTAATACAAACAGGGGTTTGTAATGGAGGTAGAATCAGTTATAAAAAGTTTCCAATATTAGTGATTAGACCAGAGTCTGCACACTGCAGAGCATAATCCAAATCTGACCTGTTGCTTTTTTAAATAAAATTTCATTGGAACACAGGGCATGGTCACTCATTTATATATTTATTGTCTATATCTTTTTTTGTGCTATAACCAGAGTTGAGTAGTTGTAACAGATTATATGGCTTTAGAGCTGAAAATACTTACTATAGTCCACAAAAAAAGCCTATCAGCACTTGAATTAGGGTATTAAACACAATCCTTCTAACTCTTCTATTCATGCTGGCCTCAAAATATCACTTTCCTGAGAGCCAAGATTGATTATAAGCTCTTGTCAAAATCATGACTAGACAGGTCTCAAATCAAGAATAGTTTTTACTAGGTTGATTCAAACTGTAGATTTTGGAATTTTACCTCACACCTGTCTGCCATCTTACTACCTCCTCCAAACAGTGCTGATACATATCCATTAAAAGTCTTTTCTAAGGAACTCTCCTGCATTGCTGGTGGGAATGCAAACTAGTACAACCACTATGGAAAACTGTTTGGAGGTTCCTCAAACTGCTAAACATGGAGCT